CTGCAGGCGTCGGGCCATGCCCTGGGGAGGGACCGGGGTCAGGGGTCTCTGGTTGGGTCCCGCCCAACCTGCCTGTCAGGCCAGAGGCCAGGTGCAGTGTTGACCCTGCTAGTCCCCAGGGATGGCCCAGGGAGGGGCAACCTCTCTGGCCCTCGGTCTCCTCATCAGGATGACTGCCGAGAGGCCAGAACAAGATCCTGGGTGTCAAGCACTCGGCAGTGAGCCCCAGGCGCACTGTCATCTTCCCGTCACTGTCACCTTCCTGGTCTCCCAGGTCCAGGATCAGGTGGCCAAAGCCCTCCTTTGCTCACGTGGGGTTTGGGGCCATCACCCTTTCACCAGTTGTTCATCCACCGTGCCCACACCTCGCTGTGCCTGCCCCATGCCAGGTGCCACCTACCATCCATAACGGGGCCTCCCGGTGCACCTGACCCCACCCGCGACTTCAAAACCTAGGGGCCACGTGGGTGTGAGCCTCCGCTGTCAGCCCGCTCTGGGGCCGACCATGTGCCCAGCAGTCTTGGGCTCACAACACCTCCTCCCTCGCTGTCCCACCCAGGAGACCCTCCACAAACACTCATATGCCCTCAGAGTCACCCCAGGACGATTGGCAACACCCTCCTCTCGTGCTTTCTGGCCCCTGCAAGCCCCTCCTGGCCGCGTGGCTTCCCACAGCCGTGCCACCTCTGCAGGGGCAGTAACCGGCTGCACAGTCATGGGAGCAGTGGGGTTCGAGTTTTTTTTGTTTGTTTGTTTGTTTTTGCTATAGGGCGCGTACGCTCACCAGACAGACAGAGAGAGACAGAGAGACAGAAAGCGAGAAATCCCCCCCCAGGAGGGATAGTCACGCCGCAATCCCTTCTCCTCCATTCTCCTCTTGGGACCTGGGCACGCACACACATGCGCCTGGCGTGAGTTTTAAGCCACCGGGTCCGGGATGCGAACCGTGGTCGACTATGTGGGAGTCCAGTGACTTAGCCATTACGCCAACTGGTGGTCCCGGGGTTCGGGTCCTTAGTAGCAGCACCAGCTGCGATGTGTCTGAGTAGGCACCAGCGTGGAAGGGCAAGTCAGGCGGCTCGGCGGCTTTCACCTCCGGCGTGGTCAGGGGACACGCTCTTTGGCGATATCAGCTACACAGGCTGTGACCTCTCCAGGGAGACCCCCCCTGGAGCCCCCGGCTTCCTGTGCTCTTGGGACCTTGCTTCTCCAGACTGCCTCCTGGGGGTGGGGGGCCTCTGGTCCTCCCAGACTTCCTAGCCATTTCTGAACTTTGTCCTCGGGACCCCTGCTGGGTCCTATCCTCCTGGACTCAGGGGTGAGGACACTGAGGCCCAGGAAGCTTACGTGACTTGCCCAAGCTCACAGAGCAGTGAGTGGGACAGCAGATGGAGCCCTCCTGTCTGAGCCCAGGACCGTCCGCGCCCCTCCACCTCGGGTCCTAGAGGCTGCCTGTGCTCTGCCCTCCTCTCCCGAGGTGCGTGCACACCCGGGGGCGCCACCACTCACCTCGTGGCTGTGGATGCGGCCCTGCAGGTCCTCCAGCGGGCTGGTGCGGCTCAGGGGGGCCCGGGCCCAGGCTGAGACCTGCCTCTCTATCTGCCCCAGGTCCCCATCCAGCCGGGTCATTTGGGTAAGGAGCTTCTGGGCCTGGGGGTCGACTGAGGCCGAGCCAGCTGGAGTGGAGGGCAGAGGTGCTGGTCAGGTCTAGGACCTGCCTCATGTGCCTGAAAGGCCGTCCCTGGGGGTCACAGAGGGTCCTGTGGTGGAGGCAGGATGGGGTGGGCAGGACTCAACCCAGAGATGGCCAGCCCAGAAGACAGACTCCCTAGAGCAGATGTCCCTCACCCAGGGCTCCCGCCCATCCTGACCCCCCACAATGGCCGGAGCAGGAATCTCCTCCCTCCACGCTGCCCCCCATACTCTGCTGTCCAGGCCGAGAGGGCTCCACAGCACTGGCCTGCAGGTGGCTCCGGACGGTGGCCAGTTTCTGCTGCAGAGCCTGCAGCTCCGAGGCCAACCTGGTAGGAGGAGGAAGTGAGAGAAGGATGACCTCCTCACCCCTTCCCAGCCCTGGGAGTCGCTGCTCTGGGAAAGGCCGGCACTGGGCCTTGGATACTACAGGGCCTGGTCTGGCCACGGCCTGTCTCCTGCCCCAGGGTATCCCAGGCAGTCCCACCTGGAGGCTCTGGCCACGGCTTCAGGGTCGGGCGCAGGGATGCAGAAGCAGGCGGCCGGGGCGCTCTTGGTCTCCCCACCAGGGCCCTGCACAACCCAGGTGTGTGGGTCCGTGTTGTCCATCAGCCTGTACTGCTCCCCGCGCAGCAGCTGCACCTGGGCACAGGCAGGGAGGGGCCTGGAGAGGGGCCAGGGCCAAGACAGGGCAGGAGCTGGGGGCAGGGGCAGGGGCTGGAGGTGCTGGGGTGGGTGGGGACCCAGGAGGACAGAGGTGGGGCTGGGCAGGGGGGGCAGGCCTGGGCTGGCGTTTGTACTTCTCCTGCATCCCAGTCACAAAGGCTGTCCACGTGCAGAGGCTGCTGGGGAGGGCTCCTGCGCTGCGGCAGAGGGGCCACCTCCTGGCTCCGACGTTGCAGGTCCCCAATGGCCCTTTGGGCCACGGCCAGCTGCTTGTCCTCTGCCTGCCGGGTGTCCAGCAGTGGAGGCTGAGGCAAGGCTACATTGCAGGCTGGCTACCCCGTTCCCATCCTCCCAAGAGGGCCAGGGCCTGGCAGGGGCTCGAAGTCAGCGAAGTAAAAGGAGCCCCTCCCTGGGGGCCCAGCATCCTGGGATCTGCTGGTTGGGGTATGGGGGTTGCAGCCCAGAACCACTCAGGGAAGTGAGCGGAAGCCGGAGGGGCCTCAGATTCTGCCCCGGCTGCCCTTGTCACGTGCTAACGAGGACACGGAGGTGCAGAGGGACAGGCATGCGGTACTTGGCCAGCCTTCTCCTGGTCCGGCAGGGGAGGCCGGGAGGACAGGCAAGCTCGATTCTCAGGAGCAGGGTACAGATGGTCTGGGGGGGCTGTCTCACCTCCAGCTGCAGCAGCAGCTCTGTGGGAGCACCACAGACTTCCCCCGGGGCCGGGCTGTACTTGGCGTCCAGGCTGGAGCTGAGCTTCGCCAGGGTCTGGCCAACTGAGTCAGCTTCTTCCTGAAACTGAGGTGCTTGGTGGTCAGGGACAGACCTGGGGTGACTGCTGCCCACTGACCCTGCAAACCAGCTCGGTGCAGGCCAGCTGAATGCAGACCAGATGCAATGCAAACCAGTTCCACGGAATCCAGGCTAGCCCCACGCCAGCGACATGGGAACCAGGCTAGCACCACGCCAGCGACATGGCAGCCAGGCTAACCCCACGCCAGCGACATGGGAACCACGCTAGCCCCACACCCGCGGCCTGG